TAAGTAAGTGTGTGTATTTCTTTGTTGGGACCAGTAACTTCCTGGAGTCTCTGCTGGTTGCCTGGCAACTGCTCAGAGGCAAAAAATAACCCTGTAAAACCTCAATTTGTTGTTTTTACAAGTCCATTTTCACAAGGATTAAATAAATTAGAGAAAACATTTTAATTAGTGAGTCTTAGAGGTTTCTGGTAAGCCAGATTTTGTTACCTTTGGACAGAGCAATGCTAGCTGTTTCCTCCTGTTTCCAGTATTTATGCTAGGCTAAGCCATGCTGTCTCCTAGTTGTAGCTTTATATCTACTTTACAGACATGAGAGCGTTATTAATCAGCTCATCGAACTCTCTGCAAGAGCAAAACTAAATAAAATAAAAGCAAATAAGCGGAATTCCCAAAATGTTTAACCACCCTTTAAAAAAAAGTAGCACCATAACTTTTCCGAGAAGTGTTTTTTCTGTGGGCATTAGACGTCAGTCGGCTTCTCGTCAGTGAATAAAGATGAGAAAACCTTCTAGCTAACAAGAAAAGGGGTCAAGTGTGTGTTGAAGGACTTGGTTTCGAGCCATCCTATTTCTCTGGGATCTAGTGAGTGTAAGTGCCGAGGAGTCCCCATGAGCAGACATCCATAAACAGAAGTGTGTGGGGGAGTGACAGAGGTTTTGTGAACTCTATGGAGAACCACGGGGTGCAGCCACTGGAGAGAAGCTCATTCATTCATTCATGTTCTCCGCAGTGGTTTATGTAACCGGCTGCTCCATAACTAAAAATGGAAGTGGACGCAAAAAGTAGGAGTTAATTTAGGCTCTGATGTAAAAATATAAAGGCCTGCGAATGGAAACTAAATGAAAACACAGCTAAGATAACAAACAACTTGTTATAGGAGACATTTATTGTGTTCAAGCAAGTGTATTAACATTTAAGAAGCGGGGCTGGATGATGGCTGAAAGTGCGCATTTTACATTCTTACAGGTTGGTGTACATGTAATAATAATAAAGTGTTTAATAAATGAACAGATGCATGTTGTACTCACACTCTTGCTCCACACCAGTCCTGTAGTGTGGTGCTGTTTGATGAAGGACTGCACCTCGGTCCAGATTGACAGGTAGGAACGCACCCAGTCTACATGACGTCTGTCACTGGGAGAAAAGAAGAGGTTGGTTGAGAGGGGGGGACAACGCTTTGACAGGAAAACAGAGAGTAAGCATTAAGGAAGAAGGTGGATGTTAGGATGGATCAGTGCAGTGGATCACAAACAATGTCTTGTGGTTGTAAACAAACTAACCAAACACATGTTTCTAGAATACTTAATGTGCTATTTAGTAACCAAAATGTTGCACAGTGAAGCACATATGAAGATATGAAAGGTAGATAAAGAAACATTTGAAGAAGATATACTTTATTGATCCCCTAGGGGGAAATTTTTTTTTGTCACTCTTTTTTTTTGTATACACACACACACAGGCTGAAA